GCTGTGCGCCGCGCAGTCGCCGTCCGAGCCCAGCTCGCTCTCGGCCGCCAGCGGGGACGGCGCGATGCTGCCGCCGCCTTCCTGGTCGTCGTCCTGGACCGCCAGCCCCCCCGCCAGCTTCATGGCGCGGCCCCCGGGGGAGCGGGGCTGCCTCCCTGCCCCTGCTCCTGGGCAGCTGCACAGGGGCTTCACTCTCCGCTCTTCAGCCTTACACTCTTTTTGAGGAGGGGGAGGTCCACTTGGAGTATAAGGGAGAAGAGTGGGGGTCTTCCTTCTCTCCCCCGCTCTCTTCAGAGGGACGCCCCGATTCCCTTGCCCACCCCACTGTGCTGTGGCTGCCCGGGGGATGGGGTGAGGGGGTCGCAGGGCGGTACAGGACGGAGGAGGAAGAGTAGCAATAATCGAGTCACTCAGTGCGCCTGGGCCGGGGTCCTGAGCAGCCGGCTTCTCCAAGTTTGTCCTTCTGCTGGAGACGCTCCTAAGGTCCCTGCGCGCGGGTGCCCCGAGCCATGAACCCCGGGGGCTGGCCCTCGCTGCGCTGCGCTGCTCCGACCTGCTGCTTCCCGGGCGCTCTCAGCGGGCTCCTCGCCGGGCTGTCACGCTTGTTAGGGTGACTGTCATTATCTCTCCCGCCGTGGCTCGCTCTCTCCCCACCACGTTCAGACCAGCCCATTATAACATTCAGGCAGCCGGGGAGAGGCGGAGCTAGGGCGAGGAGCTGGAAGCATGGTAGCAAAGGTGGGCACTCGTTAAGAAGCAGGAGTTGGCGGCATAATGAGGGGGGTGGCAATTAGGGCTTGTTAGAAACTCATTGCTTGCTACTTGTTTGCATCTTGCTCCTCTCCCCGCCCCCCTGACTGCCAGGGACCGCCCCTTTGCTTCCCTCCCATTCCCGGGTGTTTGCAAAGGAAGAAGCCGGGTCGGGACAGATTTGCATAGCAGGTTCCTCCTCCCAGGTGTAAAGGGCAGGCAGGGTTGCAGGTGGCAGAGCGAAGCCGGGTGCAGGCGCCTGCTTTTTACAGGACTTCTCAGCACAGCGACAAGTTGTCATGGGACAGCTGAACAACCTGCTGGAATCCAGTGCAATCCTTCCAGCCCTATGAATGCCTGATGATGATTTAGGGGTGTAGGTCTAAGGACACAGACAGGCAAAGCTCTCTGGGTAAAAAGCTGGGACCAAGTACTTGGAAAAAATGAAATAGCTGGAAAAAAGTTCTTTGCAAGCTTTCAGGCACAAACACCCTTGTTGAGGCATTGGGAGACTGCTGCTGTTATGTGTTCTCCAAAGTAGAAAAGAAGCTGAAGTATAATGATGATGATTTATGTAGCCTGACAAAGTTATTTCATCCTCTCCCTTACTACCACCCTCTGCCCTCCATCCCCTGGAACAGGTAAAAAGTGGAAAAGGTGTTCCCACGTGCTGCTTGGCGGGGCGGGCAATGTTGTATTCAACAAAACTGTAACGTTAACTTCACACTTGCATAATGTGCAGAGACACCATGTCACATATCTTTTCATCTTTGCATACCCTCATTGTTGCTCTGCAAATAAAACCTTTGTACAGTTAAACAGGCTAGTTTGGGTATATCCTCAAACTAGAATTTAGTATCCATTAGGACAGAAATGTAACAACGCGTTAGTAATCAAAGCATTCATTAATTTTATCTCTAGATTTTTTTCTAGACAATCTAAGATTTGATTCCCCCCTACTCCCCAATTTAGCACCGTCAAGGTTGCTCTCGTTTAGAAAACTTATCATGTTAACTTTAGTGTAACTTACATTCAGGAGGGCTACGTGCTAAAGTGAGCAAGAGCCCCCCTGAAACCTGACTTCTGTATTGGGCCTCATCCTGTTTCCATTTGAAGTCAGTCAAAAAATCTTTTTTGAACTAAAGTCTGAAAGCAGACTCTAGCCTATGAAAATTTTTGGAGGTTTGCAGAAAAAGGTGTTGGCAGGTAGAAGCTTTCAGGGATATGTTTATAAAAAAAACCCAGTACAGTTGTTATATGTCTTATTTTATATACCCCCCCAAGTTCTTTGTATTCTAGAGACGCTGATAGTTTCATAACTGTCAACTAAAACCAAATTGTAAGATGAGGTGTATGGAGGGCTTGAACTCTGGGAAAAATTGACCGCTAAAAGTGCATAGTATTTAAAGGAATCGTATTGAAGTTAAAACTGCTGTTTTTTATGTGGCTGCTGAGGATTGTAAGAGAAATATGGAAGGATTCAGCTTTAAAAGACTGCATAGAAAGAGACACTTAGAAACTGTACTAGTTTCTCTTATAACACATCTCAATTAAGATTTATTTCTAGATGTGCACCTGAAGAAAGTCTCAAAATCTGCCAGTATTAAAAACTCCACAGGTCTTTTTTTTGAACAATAGATGTTGAATAATGATGGGAACTTTTCCTTCTCATTAATTTTATTAATAGGATTGGTGTCTTTCTTCCTCAACTCTCATTTGACATAGCGTTAACTTAAAAAGTCAAAATATTAGAGATGGAAAGCCTCTCTTGGTTTCCTGCAGATTTTTTTTTCATTGTCAAGCAACATGAGCTGAGACCCTTCAATAAATAGTTGACTTAACTTTTTTTTTTTAACTGCTTATGTTTGTGTTAAGGGTATGGGAAAAAAAGCTCCTATTGCTTCCAAAACTTGTATTTTCTAACATGATGCCAATGGTAAGGGTCGGTTTCTTCCTCTTCCTGCCTTTGTTATAAATGGCAATGGAGAAGCGATGATTTGGTAGCCTACCTTTGATGTTTATTTTATTACCTTTCCAGCATTTGTGTGGAAAATGTACACATTGCCTCTTATCTTTAGTCAAAGAACTTAAAAGTCATTCAAATGCTGTAGGTAAACATGTCAGACATAACAGAGGCTTTTTCATGGCTGGGTTTCAAGAGCAGGAATGAACAGCAAAGCTGGTTTTGCAGGCTTTAAGAAGGGACAAGACTTCAGCTCACAGGCAAGTGCAATTTCAAAGACAGTCTTCAATGGGTGGGAGACAGGGTCTGATTTTACACCTACTTTGCCAGGGGTTCCAGGCCTCCATCCTGCAGACATTTGAGCAGAGGCATAATTTGACTGAAGAGAAATGCCACTGAAGCCTGTGGATTTGATGACTTGAGTAAACTTAGGCAGGAGCTGCTTTAGTGTTTGCAACATGAGGCTCAAATCCAGAATCTCTCAATCTGTCTTACTGAGGGAACAGTGTTTGGGGCAAGCCTAATACTACAATCCTAAATCACCTTGGTAACCTGCACAGTGCAGCCCTTCAAGCCTTTTCCTGCTATAGTTTAAAAAACCTCAGTATTGCCTTCAGGTTTATGAGATTAGCACAATCATCGGAAAAAAGCTGATTCCATTAAATAAACTTAACATCAAACACTCTTTGATGTGCTGTATTATAGCAATACACGCAAAAAAAAAACCCTTTAATGAAACAAATCTAAATAAAGAGACAAATACTACTTTGTTCTACAGTGAAGATTGCTGTACCTCTTAAAGAACTGCAGGGATATATTTTTTTAATGGATGAAATTCCTCACTACAGCATTATTCAAAGAAGAGGGAATGCAATTATATTTGCAAGTTCCGTACCTGATTCTGCTACTTCCTAAGTCATCCTTCTGGAGTCAGTAAGGAGTTAGGCACTAGCTATTGCAAGTAAGAGTATTAGATTCAGGCACTTCCTCTGCAGTTTGCTTAAGCCTTTGAGAACAGGATTCTTTTAAAACAACTATTACTGGAGCTAATATTGCTATTAGATGGCTTAGTCAAGGATTGTACTTTCTGCTCAGTTTTTATCCAAGTGCACTGCCTCCGTGTTGGCTAAATAAACTATTTGCTTATATACATTGGAATGCAGTTTACAAAAGCAGGGCGTGGCTCTCTCAAACATGAAGAGCAAGAATACCCTTTCCATCCTGCCCCACCTGTTTTATTGAGGTATACTGCATTTCCTTTCTGTACTGCCCAGTAATTGAATCTACCCCATTGTAATTAATTATTAGCTCAGAGAGGATGTGATTTGCAGAATCTCATAAAGGTAGGTATCAGTTATCTCTCTCTCACATCTGGAGTAATCCTGCAAATGGTAGTAGACATATTTCTAGATCCGAGATGTCCAGTTCTCCAATAGAACTGAATGTGTGATTTCCCTTCCTCCCTTTCCAGGGACTTGCTAAGAATAATGAAATCTGAGAGCACAATCCACCTGTCACTATGGACCAGTTCAAAGAGCTCTCTTTGGATGAGCTCCCCATAGAACAAGACACACCTGGCATAGACAAATGAATCAGGCTGTGAAGGTTGGCAAATCATGCCATAAACTTGAATAGTTCAAGGAAACACAGCTGGAGGTCAAACCATAGAAAAAATAAGCTAGTGGAAGTCCATATATACATAAAGAAAAAGAAAGACATTTAAATTAGCATGTGTGTCTGCACAGATCTCTCCACTCGGTCTAGGGAGTTGCACTTTTTCTACAGTTTAAACATTTAAAATCTCCATAACTTTTAGGAAGAGTTCAGCAAGAAGCAAAGCTGAGTGAAACGCTAGTACTTCTATTTCAACTTTGTTTTCCCATTCATAAATTTAAGTGTTCCTCTAGACTGAAATTTTCCATGCTCAATACTACAATACATTACAAAAAAGTGTAAAGTTTCAGCAAAATCTCTTCTCCTATATCCTGGTTGGTGCCAGAACAGAACAAATAGATACTATTCTACCCAAAAAACCCCAAACAACACAACAACAAAAGAAAAAATAACCCCTCCAAACCAAAGCTAAACAAACCCTCTCCCACCACACATGGATCTTAAGGCTACTAAGACCCCTAATGCCATAATAATAATTCTTAACTCTTATGTAGCACTTTCCCTCAAATAAATATCCAATTTGGGAAATAACATTATCCCCATCCCAGTTGACAAGATGGAGGTACAGAGAGGGGAATTAATCTGATGGGGTGAAGTTACGTGTTACACCACATTTCACAGATTTAGTACTGTTTAAGATGGATTATTTTATGTTAAGGGTTAATACCATTTCTTAGCTGCACAGCTCTCATTTGCCACTAGAGAGTGGGTAAACAGGAGTATGGAACCAGTATACCTGGGCTCCTTCCCTGATCTGGGTGGGGAGGTGTGGCTGGGAACAGTGCATCCTGGGATGCTGGAGGTCTTCAAATAGCTTGTTTTATCTCCATGGAGAGCAGACTGAAGTTAACATGAGTTACTTAGCATAGCCCAGAGTTAACCCTTGCCTGCAGTGCATAACTTTGAGATGTTCCAAGGGCATGTATTACAATTTAATGAGCTTTAATATGTGGATGCTCACATTTTAAGTGTCCTTATTATGGTCTAAGTAAAAAATGTAATTTCACCCAAACAAACCAAGAACGGGACTGATAATAGCACCCAGTTTCCCAGAATCCATGTCTAGGGTTCTATGAGTTGAGGCTGGGCCTCCTCAGTGGTGGCCACTGGGCAAGGGGCTGTCCAAAACTGAGAGACATTTTATACTGCAGGGAATTTACAGTTTAATTCTCCAGTTTTGGAACTGTATCTTGAGTCTCATGGAGTTGATTAGACTTGAAAGGGTCAGACTGAGCGAAGTGCTTTGCAAGCCTAAGACATGGTAAGACATGACTTGGAGGGGGAATGTAGCTAAAGGTACTTACAAAATGCTTTGTGACCATATTAGCAACTG